TCTAGAAGTTGTCAAGAACAGCCAAGCACACAGGAAAGGTCCATCCTTTTTTCTCACCCTTTCTCTGGAGGGGGGAGTGGGGGGTTTTATAGAGAACTAACAATGACTCAGGGGAGAACACTAGATTTGTTTATGGATAAAGAATGGCTCATATGCTGGATAATAGAAACGGATCACTCCTGACTCCGGGTGGCATTACTCTGAGGGAGCTCACAATACAGCCAGAAAGATTCAGTGTTTTGGGTACCAATAAAGGAGTCATTACCAGGGATCCTGGTTTTCTCTGATTAAAAATTGCAAATTCTCTGATTAAAAACCCAAAATCCATGATAAAAATTAAAGGCCCTCCACAGCCCCGCCCAGCGCTGCTGGTGCCCTGCACCCCCCCCACAGTCTCAGCAGCCCTCCTGATGCCCCTCGCAACAGCCCCTCAGACCCACAGACATGGTGACAGACACTGACACCCACTCCAGCAGGTAAGTGTGTGTGGGGGGGGAAAGGGAAGGTGTTGGGGGGGTAGGTCAAGAACAGGGGGAGTGTGCCCTTGTGCCCACTCCCAGGAGCAGGGCCGGGGGTGAGGGCAGGGGTGCCACTCTATGGGCCACACACATGCTGGCCAGCCTGACAGGAGGTTTGCACGCGGAGGCCGCCACCGCAACTCTGCCACTGCGCCCTGCACTACCTTCCCATGGCCACCTGAATGGCTTTGTGGGCCAGTGGCGCGGGGCACCGCAGCAGCAGTGTAGTGGCAAACATCGTGTGTGGGCCACATATGTGCCGCCCAGCTGGGGGCGTTAAACGCGGGGCTTGCATGCAGCAGCATGTGCTGCAACTGGCTGCACGGCTCCGTGGTGGTGCAGGGTGGTGGTGGCTGCATACAGGGTGGGGGGGCTTTGCAGGCAAGCAGTGCCACTATGGAGCCATGCCCATCACCCCTGGATCCTAGAAGTAAGTGGAGCTTGGGGGCTATGGGGCAGACCTGGGGAAAATGGTTGGGGGCTGAGGGAGCAGGAGGTACTTCTGGCCCCAGGCAGCATATCGCAGCTGGGAGCAGGGCCAGGGGGTGAGGGCAGGGATGGTCCTCTGAGGGGGGGAAGGGGGTGACAAGTGATACAGGGCGCAGTGCCCACCATTTGTGAGCTGCACACATGTAATTTGGATGATATGGCCAACACGGCATAAAGCATAAAATGCTATAAAGCTGCACAAGGTCCCATAAGAGGTGTGCTGGGACAAAGCAGCTGGCAGGCCTTAATTCACCAGAGAGACCATGAGTTCTCAGACCTCTCTCCCTGTTCTCTCTCTCCCGAAAGCCCTAGTCCCCTGCACCCACTCATGTCCCCTTGCACCTGTATGGACCACAAAAGAGTTTGTTTTTGGTTGGCGGTGTCAACCATGTTGGTTTCGTAGAGCCTTACTCTGTGCCTCAACTGGTGCAACAGGGTCAAAATTTCCCTAGTGTTGGGCAACCAGGGTCTGCAAGGCAAACAGATGGTACAGCCCAGAGATCTGGAGCAGAAGTTAATCGGGTCCTCCCAGCACAAGGGTAGAGTGGGTAACCAAGCAACACTTTGCTCAGGAGTCCTGGGGAACCTCTGGAGACTGGGCCCTCATGTGGCATGCTGGAATGTGTCTTCCCACTGGTCACCATAGCTGCTTGCAGATGTTTTTTTTAAAAACAAAAACAAATCTAGCTTTATCAGAAGAAGCAGTGTGTTATTTTGACCTGGGTTTGCATGTCTGTAAAGAGCAGGCACTTCAACGGGGCTTTTTGGCACTTTTAGCTAATAGCTGACTCAATCAGCTATTAGATAATAGCACCAAAAAAGCCCCGCTAAAGTACCTGATCTATACAGATGTTGGGTAGACCTGGTCCAAGCATTTTTTTCCCTATTTTTTTCCCATTTTTTTCCAAGCAGCCCTTCTGGCGGAGCAGCAGCACTACATGCTGCCACTAGTTGATAACACTTGCAAGTCTGAACCAGAACGACTGTGTTCTGTCTGCTTCAAACCCTGTGACAGTTTTTCCAGATACAAATGGTATATCTGTCTGTATCTTGTGTTGGCAGTGACATATTATTTATTTGAAAAGGGTACTCAGTGTGTCTTTAAGCTTTTTTGCTCAGTATTATTCTTTTTCTTTATTCAAACTTTTTTTCAAATATTATTAATTCAAACAGATTCATTTTCTAATTTCATCTTATTTTCTGATACCACTGCATAAAGAGTTGAGACCTTCCCTTTTCCTTCCACCCCGCTAAAATATGTAATTTTCCTTTTTGATTACCCAGTTGATCAAATTGCATTTTATAAACACTTGCTTATGCTACTATTGCTACACACTTGACCTCAGAGGCACAGTTATGTGTGTTACACACTTCCAAACAAGTCTCTGCATATGATGAACAATCCAAGACAACTTCAGGATCATCTGAAGGTGGAAATTTGATTGGATATGAAAATGTTCTTTCAAATATTCAGCAAAATGTCTTTGGACTTAACTGAATTATCATCCATTTTTATTAAATTGTCATATATTTTTGGCTACTTTTGTAATTGTGTATTGTATATTGTACTGAAAATCAAACTAAACTGCAAAGATGATAGTTAGCAGGCTTCTGTTTCATGGCAGTACTCCAAGTAGATGTATTGTCTCATTTGTTCTCCTATTTTGTAAGTTATTTTGTTTTCTTACTTCAGTGGGGGCCAGTTTTTTTGGCAAGCACGCCACAAGCTAAGCTTTGCACCTTCCCCAAGTACCCCTCTCTTCTCCTTACCTGTTCAATCTGTTGCTCTGCTTTCTGCTCCTGCCCTGTGCTCCCTGCCAAATTTGTTGTTTTGCTTTCTGCTTCCTGTCCCATATGCTAATATATTTTCTGTTCCCTCCCTGACCTGCCATGTGCCCCATGGGGTGCTTGTACTGGTTTGGCTCATGTGTTGCATATTGGCCATGGCCCTGTCTTATTGTAAGCCACCCTGGGTCTTGTGGAGGGAAACATATTAATTAAATAATTGTTACCTCTCTGGTAGTGCTGGCTTGGTATTTTGGTGTGTTTGGGTTTTTTATTTATTACTAAAACAACATTTCAGAAAATGAAAATCTGTTTACAATGGATAGGAATCATATCTGTGCCAGTCAAACAGCAGCACAAGAAGGGAGTTGCTTCCACTTTTGGTGCATTGCTAATTAAAGCTGCGATAAATCAAGGCAGTGAACTTTTAGATTCATTCTAATAGATCTTGTGCTTACAGTTGAATCAGCTAGCATTTGTGCTAACAAAGTTTTGAGAAGTGTTATAACTTAGAATTCTTTTCTCCATTTCATTTTAGGCCCTTCTCTCCAAAACCATGCCAGAGATGACAGAAAATGAGACTCCTAGTAAGAAACAGCATCGGTAAATATCTGAGACCAGGTGACTGATGTATTGACCTGGAAACTGTAGAGCAGGGCTGGGCAATTACTTGGGCGCGAGGGCATCATAGGGTGTTTTGGTGAGCCATTGCATGGGCTGGGTCAGTAGCATCTTTCTTCCCCCAGCCCTGTGTGCAACAGCTTACCAGAAATCCCTATGTAGGATGGGGCCATGGGTGGGCAGGGAGTAGTGTCTGGGAGTGAGACAGGTGGGCAGAGCCAGAGAGACCCTGGGATCCTGGGCAGTGACAGTGTGGGGCTGGGGCCTGGGGCAGAGCTGCAACAAGTGTAGGTTCCGTGGGCATGATGTGGAGGAAGCAGGCCCTAGCCCTGTGCTGTCATTATCCCAAGATCCCAGGGTCTCCATGGAGACCAGCTGGGAGCTGTGTGGGAGGGTGCTTGCCTGTGTGGGGAGCTGCATCCAGGGCCGGGATCTTGGGGCAGTGCTATGATCCACTCCCTACTTGTCCCTGCCTGCAGAACCTGCGCCTGTTGCAGGGGCGTGAGAGAAGTAGTTTATGGCTCTGTCTTGGGGCCCTGGCCCCACACTGTCACTGCCCCAAAATTCAGGCATCTCCCTGGCACCACCCACCTACTTCACTCCTGGAGGCTCCTCCCCACAGACCTGTAGCCCCATCCAAGCCACCTAGCCAAGCACCCTGTCCATGTGGGTCATGCCTCCAGGGGTGGGTGCATAGCAGACAGGTCAAGGTGCCCAGACAGTGGGGCTGGGTCTGGCAGCAGCAGCTGGATGGAGTCACTGTCACTGGTGCTGCCAGGAAATGGAGTCCCACTGCCATGCCAACCCAGCTCTACTACATGCTTGGCCATCTGAGGGCCCCGCTGAAGACAGGACAGAATCTCTCAGCAGGCTAGATCCAGCTCATGGGCTATATCTTGCCCCCTCCTGCTAGAGCCTTGTCTTCCAGCTCTTACTGCAGTATCAGCTAGCACTGTTAGCTGACCTATCCAGGAGAAACCTGACTTGATGACCCATATGATTGAAGCCCTCCAGTTATCTACAAGGCAGCAGCTATCAGGCATGTTTTTCAGATGCATTACCTTGCCAGTATGTTTCCACCCTGTCTTTGGGAGAATCTCCCTCTAGACTAGAGCTAGCAGGGGTTGTTCGGTGTCTTTGGTCTGTGCAGTCCTTAATATTTAGGCTGTCTCCCAATTAGTGCAAAGCATAATGGTGAATTTTTGACATGGAAGATGGAACTGAGTTCCATCAAATGCCTCTCCTATTGAGGCCACTAAGTATCCATTATATGGAAACAGCTTTTAATCCATGTTCATCTGGGCTAGTGTCAAGCCAGCAGAGTTCAATGCACTGCTAATGAATTGAAAGGACATGAAGTCCTTCAGTATGCTGACATTACAGCTTCAGGAATTCTTATCCCAATGCTTTTCCGTCTCTCTCATACCTTTTCTTGTCTAGAGAGCATTTTTTGATCTTAAAGGGTGTTTTTGGTATCTTTGGCCAAAGTATTTTTCTAGTTGTGCAACAGAATTGACTTGTATAGTTTTATAAATAGGTTAGACAGAAGGTTTGTCTGGAATAGTTTGGATGGGGACAATCCTGCTTCAAATGGGGTTGTGACCTATGAGCTCCATAGGTCACATCCATTACTACTTTTCTATGATTCTGTGAAACCATGTTAAAACAAGAAAAAATAATTCTTGCGTATCACTCTTCTGTTTTGACATCATCTTTTTTTCTTCTCTTGTACTGCAGAAAGAAAAACCGGGAAACACACAATGCAGGTAGGAACTATTGTGGTTTTCTTTATTTAGAGTGGAGCTGCATTTATCTTTGAGCAATTAATAGCATGCAGGAACCAGCACACTTGGAGTGAGGAAGGATGCCTTTATAGGAGTGCATTACATGAAAAGACTTCAGAACATCAGGTGGAACACTTGGGCTTGGGACAGAAGCTGCACACAAATCATTTTAAGCAACCAGAAATGAGTTTAAAGCTGTAACAGAACAGAAATGGCCAAAACTAGTTTAAGATAAATCTGGTTGAATGTAGTATCAGATTTAACTGATTTAGGTCAAACTAGCTTACGGGACTTCTGTCCCAGACTCCTTCCTGGTTTAAGTTAACTCACAATCCCCCAGCATCCCAGGATGCTTTGCAGTTCTGGGCCGGGCTATACTGTCTGCTTCAGTGGAGCAGAGTTGACCCCACTCCTCTCCTCTGTAGCTGGAGCACTATCACTGCTACGGCTGGCTGAGAAGGGGCTGGAGGTGGGAAAACCTGCTTCAGAGAGCCCCCCCCTCGCTGCTCAAACAACAGGAGTGTGTGGGGGGGGGGCGGTGGCCAGGTGCCAATAACCTGAGGGGAAAGTGGTGGGGGCTAATCCCCTTCCCTCCTGTCTCCCACCTGTGCGGGAGCCAGCCAGAGTCTGCCTGGCTTTCCCCCTGCTCACCACTCAAGCAGCAAGAGCAGGGGCATGGCCAGACCCCAGCTTGAGGTGAAGTGGGGGAGGGAGGGGGGAATCACAGAGAAGCAGGGCTGTCTGGGACCTCCAGAGGTCCTCTAGTGTCTAGTCCAACCCCTGCTTGAGCCCTAGCCAGACCCTCCCATATACGGCGTGCTCGCAGTGCCCACAATTGAGAAAACCCACCGGGGGGGCTCTACTGCTGGTGGGAAAAAAGCCACCAAGGATTACATGTTGCTGGTCCACAGTGGGGCCCAGAGCTGTGCCCTTCCAGCCCTGAGGCAGTGTCACACCGAGCCCCGAGCCCCATGATGGGGGTGGAGGAGGGAAGCCCTCAAAATGCTCCAGATATACTCCCCTCAACATACCCGATTGCCCCTTCACAATTCCCCCTGCACACACGCACCCCACCATACACACTCCCCATACACACTCCCCACACACAATATACAAGAGTAAGCCTTTATTTTTGAGCTATTATGCAATCCCCTCTATATACAGTACACAAACACAAATCATGACAAAAATATTTTTTTTTGTAATAAAGTTAAAACGTGATAATAGGTATTTCACTTTTAAAGTATGCTATGTTTTTTTCCTGGTTCCAAGATCGCAACCCTCCCCTCCCAAAAGGGTTACTTCAGGGGGGCAAGGGAAGGGACTTCTGATGGCAAAGGTCAGGGGTTAGGGGCAGGACTTCCAGTCCCAAGATGGCAACCAGGGGGTGGGACTACCCTTGCAGCCCTGGACAGCTCACCAAAACTCCATTAAGTGGCCCTCCAGACAAATAATTGTCCACCCCTGCATTAGTGTGACATCAACTCACTGAACAGCACCACCTTCCCAGAAATCCTGCCTGAAGCCAATCTGGGCTTAAGGATTTTTCTCTTTCTCAAGACAGTTTTCTTTCCTTACTGCCGGACTGTAGGTTAAGCTGGGGTTGAGGGCAAGCAGGAAGAGGACAGGCTCAAGAGAGGCAGGCTAGGTTTGAATAAACTTACCTTCAGAATTCCAATACAGTTCTACCTTCAGGCAGCCGGAATCCATTACTCCCTAGACTTAAAATTGCTAAATTTCCATCTAAACTTTTTCTTAAGTTTTTGTCATCTTTGCATGTATTGTTGTTCTTATTTAAAATAAAATATAGGAATACAGAATAAGGGAGCACTTATAATTTTTTTTTTCAGAAGCAGTGCCCTGTTACAAAAGGTGTTGTACAGATAGAGCTAGGGTAACTTTTGCTGTGAAAGAACTTTACTGTTTTATGGTTTCTGATGAAGTTTAGGCTCTTTTTGCAAGGCAGTTGATTAATAAAGATGATGAAGAAATATCAAGCCCATTGATACCATTATTTGGTGAACTCTTAAATCCATTTTAGGCATTGCCCTTTATAGGTATGAGAGCTATAAAGATGAGCTAATTATTTTAATTATAATATAATTAAATAGGTTCTGGAATATATGCCTGTAGCTTCTGCATTCTGAAAGATAATAAATTATGCTGTGGAAAATGACTATTTGTTTTGGTCCATACTATTCAGTTTTATTTTACCTTTTGCCTTTTTGAGGGTCTTTTTTGGATTCACTTTTCATAGAGTGGGAAGGTCGTTTGTTTTAAGGTGTTGGACTGGGGCTTAGAACTGACAATAGAACTCTCCTCTTCTATCTCTAATGTCCCTTGTGACCTTGGGAAAGTTGTAGAGGTCCCAGTTCAGAATGTACTTTATCAAAGTACTCCTATGCTTAAAGCTAGGTACATGCCTAAGCACCTTGCTGAACTATGTCTCTGTGCCTTGTTTCTCCGTCTATGAAATGCGGCTAACTGTAATTCTTTTTGTCCAACTGTTTGTCTTCCTGGTCTATTTGTTCTTAAGGGTAGGAGCTTTCTCTTACTTTGTTTAAACAGTACCTGGAGCCTAAATCTCAGAAGAGTCCACTTGCAAGTACTATAATAAAAATCATTCTTTATAGTCTTCCTTGATGTAATTATCAAAAATGTAGCATGAAATGATAAAAATAACTTAAAGAAGTCAACTCAAGCAGCTGTGGCAGAAGTAAAACCTTATTCCACTTTTATTGAATATGTATAGCTATGGGTAAGCCTACCTAAATACATGCTTCCTCACTTCCACATGAATCGGCTATTGATGGCAATTCTGCAGAAATGTAAGAGGTTGATCCCTTACTGTGTCGGAATAGATTCTAGTTAGTAGTTCGTCTGTTGACAGAGCTGCAGAACATGTCATGACAGCAGCACAGTGTGAAGTCATGGAATTATCAACTGCCCTGAGTAACAGATCAAACATATTTCAAGAATTAGTGACAGTAGCAGTTGCGCAATTCTGCTACTATGTGAATGAGCCACAATTTGAAAGCACCTGATTGTTGTGTGAGGCAGAAAGACTTTGAAAAGGTCAAGCTGGAAAGCCTTCTGTGTTTGCATAGATTCCCTATAGTGGATCCCTTACCACAGTTATAATGGAGATGGTTATAAGTAGATGAACTATTTCACAAGAGGACTAAAACTAATTCAGGCTTTTCTTTTCTTTTCTCCTAAAGGCCATGATATGGAAACATTTTCATAAAGTATTTCTCCACAGCACCTAATATCTAGATCTTGCAGCATAACCGTATCTACTTATCCTGGAAGAAGTTAAAAATACATGGTTGATATACCACACAGCTAGAACTTGCCATATGTTCACTGTGCTTTTATCTTTTCAGCAGTTAAAGCACTAATTCTAATCTATTTATTGTCTGGGGGCTAAATACTGGGCTGAGAATTAGTAGACTTGGATTCCATTCTCAGCTCATTGCTTGTGTGATCTTGGGCCAGTTGGGTTGTCCATCCATGAAATGAGAATAATGAATGTTATGTACCTTTTGAGACGAGTTTTGAAATCCCTCAAGCTTTGAAACTCTCATCTATCTGAATAGCAATATAAAAGAGTGAGACCTTGGGATGCAGGTACCTGTGCGTGCAGCAGCTCAAGTAGCAGTGGCACACATTTGTGCCAAAGATTTGTGCCTCACAGCATCTGCCTCTTGGACCTGTGGCCCCATAATTGTGTGCCTGCCATACCCAGATGGAGACCTCATGGCCACCTGGGCTATGGTATGGGCACTGTAGCAGAGCTGCCTGAACCTCTGGGCCAGCTGCCAACAGGCTGTGGCTGCACAGTTGGCCTTTGTGTGGCACTGCTGTCATATATTTCAGTGCCCCCACTCTGCCATCTGGGTAGCTATTGCCCAGAAGATGTGCTTGTTGTGGTGGCCGGCTTTGAAATATCAGAACATGTCCGCTTGGCCCCAAATGGCCGGGAGGTCAGCCACCTCGTCTGCCCGTTAGCTGGGTCCCTGGTGCTGGCCCTGAGCAGACTCCTCTGCTTGGGTCCCACCACTTGCTTCACCAGCAGGGATCCTGGTTTTCTGTTTAAGGATCCCAAATTCTCTGATAAAAAATCCCAAATTCTCTGACCAGTACCCAAAAATCTGCGTTTTTCTGCAGCCAAAAATGAAATGCCACTCAATAGCTAGATATCAGTTAGGCAATGCTTTATTGATATTTTTTTTTGATATATTGATAGATTCATTCAGAGCTAGAATGAAGCACTGAGGCCCCCACCGCTTTTTTTTTCCTTCAGTGGAGGCTGCCCCCTCTGCAGCGAGGGCCCTGGTGCTTCATTTTAGCTCTGACTTGCCTGCATATCTGTTTGAAATACCTCAGGATCTATAATAATAACATTTATCTGTCTTTGCTGCTGCTGCCATCCCGGAGCTCGCGCGCTGGGGAGCCCAGAGGCAGTGGTGGCAAACACTGCCCGGCGCGGCAAGCGGGGGGACCACAGCTGTTGCTGCCACGGCTCAGCCCTGATGGGTGATCCTGGAGCTGGCGCAGGGCCCAGGCTGGCAGTGGAGGCGAGTTACAAGCTGGTGCTGAGCGTGGGGAAAAGCATTCCCTCCCCTGCCCCATGGCCGGCGCCTCGCGTTGCAGCTGCTTGCAGCCCACGTGCGGCTTTCTGTGCCTGCTCAGGACAGCTATGAGTGGCTGCAGCAGGAAGCACCAGCCATGGGGCAGGGGAGGGGCCGCTTTTTCCTGTGCTCAGCACCAGCTTGTTCCCTGCCAGGGAACAGGGGGTCAGGACTGTGCACAGCCCCCTGCCTGTACTGCAGGGCTGGGGGGCACTGGGAGTGAGCGAGTGCACGGGGCCCACACTGGTGTCACGGGGCCAGCTCCGGTGAGGCCCAGAGCAGGGCAGCAGGTGTACAGGGTCCAGCTGGCAGGGGCTGTATGGATCTGAGCCAGCTACCCCCTCACCCTGCTGGTGCAGCCCAGCCCGGCTCCACAGACCCCTGCCAGCCTGTGCCCCGCTCTGGGTCCCACCAGTGCTGGCCCTGAGGCACTGGTCCCAAGACATTGGGACATTGATCTCAAGATGGTGACCAGGGGACAAGGCACCTGTCAAGGGGCGGGGCTACCCATGCAGCCCTCAACAGCTTGCCAAAACTGGGTAAGCAGCCCTCCACCCAAAGTAATTGCCCACCCAGACCTAGACAGATTAGTTAGATGCATGGACCAGAACCAAATGCTATTCAACACTGAAAAGTGTAAAGCGCTCCATCTGGGGAGGAAAAATCTGCAACAAACTTAAAGGCTTGGTAGTGCTACGCTAGCTAGCACCACATCCGAAAGGGACCTGCGGTTCATAATTGACCATAAAATGAATATGAGCCACCAGTGTGATGTTGCAGTTAGCATAGCAAACAATATGCTGGCATGCATCAACTGATGCATCTCAAGCAGAACTAAGGAAGTTATTCTTCCTCTCTACACAGCATTGATGAGGCCACAGCTGGAGTACTGCATCCAGTTCTGGGCTCCACACTTCAAGAAGGATGTGGCGAAGTTTGAGAGAGTCCACAGAAGAGCCGCTCATATGATCTAGGGACCTGAAGAGCAAGCCATATGAGGAAAACCTGACAGATATGGGACTGTTCAACCTAGAAAAGGGAAGACTTTGGGGGGAATTGGTGGTAGCTTACAAATATATGAGTGGTGAGCATCAGAGGCTAGGCGAACAAGTATTTGCCAAAGCTCCCTAGCTGAAAACCAGGAACAACTGTCATAAACTCCTAGAAAAAGGTTTCATACTGGATACAAGAAAAAACTTCTTCATGTGTGACCAGACTCTGGAATAGACTCCCAGCAGGGAGGGTGCAGACACCTACCCTGGAGATCTTCAGAAGGAGACTGGACACACACCTTGCTGGGGTTATTTGACTCCAGCAGTCTTTCCTGCCCAGGGCAGGGGGTTGGACCTGATGATCTCACAAAGTCCCTTCCAGTCCTAAACTTCTGTGAATCTGTAATTCTAAATATCTATATACTTTGGCATTTGCTTGTTGGTTTTCTTATCATAGGAAATTAGAGTTCCCCCGCCCACTTCGCTCACCAGCATGCGGGTCCAGCTGCAGCTGTCTCTACAGCTACTCTGTGGCACTGAGTGGTACTGATATGCTGGTGCCCTGCCCCTTTCCATGCTCTTGCCCCTCACCCCCAGCCCACAGCCCTCCCCCAACCTGTGCCCCTTATTCCTGATCCACAACCCCTGACTGCCCCTGCCCACTCCCTCCCTCTCTACACCAGGACACTGTTTTGTGGCTCTGAGTAGCCAGCCTTTTCAGTTCTGCTCCTTGTGCCTGTGCCCAGGCCCCAGCAATTCCCCACACCCTTCCTGGGAAGCCCTTGACTGGGGCTCAGGGACTGGGTTGGGCAAGCCCCTTCCCTTCCAGGCTGCCCCCCCCCGCACAAACTACTCTAGGCGAGGCACGGGGGGCTCAAAGCCTGGTTCTGACAGTCACTCCAACCCGGAACACATCCCTTCCCCCTGTAATATATGTGTATCGTATGCTTGCTCACTTCTGCCACCCCGGTCCATCACATACACCAAGAGACCTCACTGCCACTTCTACCCATCACCCACTCCAAAGTGGTTCCTGGGACTAGGAGCTCCCTCCCCAAGCTGGGGCTGCATGTCTCAATAGCAGTGTGGGTGTGGGGCAGGGCTGCAGTGCAACAGTTCTTGCCAGCAGGTGCTATCCCAGGGTGTGGGCAGAAGGGGTGAGATTGTGGGGGAGGAGGGTTGTGTGTGGTGGGGGGGAGCACAGTTTCCCCTTTAAAAGGGGAAATCCATGTTTTCCTATGGGAAACAGAAAACCCAGATCCCTGCTTACCAGGATCTCCTATGGTCCCTGCTCCAGTCTCCCGGTCTTCTGCCTCTGATGCCTCATTCTCCAGGACATGGGCACAGCTGGCCCCCGTGCATGTCTGCAAGGCAGCCTGCGTGATCTTGCTGCTGTGCCTGGGCCCTGGACAGACCCTGGTTGCCAAGCAGGCTCTGAAGCAGTCCAGGACAGAGGTTGAGTCCTAGTCAGCTCTGGAGCCGCTGCTGCCAGCCAGGCCTCGCTTTTTTCTCCAGCGTGCTGAGGCAGCATGATGGAGCAGCAAGGGCATGCAGCAGACATAGACACCCTCTGCTGGGTGCTAGGGTGTGTCTTTGGAGGACTGAGCCTCCAGTTGCTTCTGGGGCTGCTGCTTGTTGTGAGAGCACACCCTATGCTGCTTTTTTTCCAGTGCATTTTCTTTTAATATTGGGATTCCCTGGTATCAAATTTAGAGTCCACGCTGCAAATAGGCAGTGCAAAGAACACTTTGTAGTTCATGGGGTGTGTTCTGCAGTATTTCAAACCGCTTTAAGATGCTGCGACAGACATGTGCAAGCTCGTGTGGATGCAGCCTTATGATAAGCCACTGCTCCCTTTTCTCCATGAATGGTCCTGTTGATCCCCACCTTTTCAAATACCTCTTTTTGTCACTGCCTCCCTGTTTTACTGAGTGAGACTTCAATAATTGAGGTGTTACTTTAGAAATGAATACTTTTAATCTCCTAAGAGACTATGAGAGGTAATGATAACCATGAAATAATACATTTATGAGTACTCAGGTTGGTGCTGGACCTGCTAATAATTTTGTTGATTTGACAATGGTGTATTTTATTTTTGTTTAGTGGAGAGACATCGAAAAAAGAAGATCAATGCTGGGATAAATCGAATTGGAGAGCTCATTCCATGTTCCCCAGCTCTTAAGCAGGTAAACAGCCTTGTGAAAACATACTATGATAAACACAGGCAAACTTTTGGGTATCCCAACCATACAGTTGGTCCAATAAAAGACATCACCCACAAGAATTCTTGCTTCTTGCATATTTCTTGGACTAACATGGCAATAACATTACCTCAACAGTACCAAAACAGGTAAGTAGTCATTTAAATGTGCCTGGCAATTTTCCAGGTAGTGCTCATTTGGTCCAGGTCCTCTGAAGCTGTAAACAGAAGGATACCTCTGTTTGCAGATTTTGGGGATTTTTACACGTGCTCAGGGATGCAGCACCAGGATCTTTAATTAGCAAGCTGCACTAATTAAAAGCAGCCAATGCATCATGTGTATCAGCATCCCCGTGCTGAAAAAATGGCAATGGGGTACTTTGAACTAAAACTCATCAGACATGTTTTATTTCAGAGTGCCCTGCTGCCATTTTTTCAGTGCAAAGACATGCAGGGATGCTGATACATGCAACATGGAAGGCTGCTGGAGCATGTCAATTTCCATGTTCCAGCAGACTCGATTAATCTGGATTTCCAGTGCATTGGAGCAGGCTCCACGCACATCTGTAGGAGCCCTTAGTGTAGGAAGCAAACTAAGACAGTAATAATATACTCAATGAAACCTTGGATGAAAATTTGTTGTACCAAGTTATTTATGACTGAAATGCTCTTGGAAATTGCAAAGCAATACAAGTGCAGCTTTCCAAAATATGAGTTTCCTGCTAAATGAACATTAACTATCATTGTGAAAAGTCACCTGTTTGTCACGTGAATGACTCTTCCCTGAAGCATCCTAGCTCATGTATGCATGTATAGAGTATTGTCCAGGAAGCACTTTCAGAAATCATGTGCCCGGCAAGCCATAGTGTGTCCATATTGACAAAATGAATTAATTGGTTTTGAAAAAAACCCAGCTGCAGAAACATTTTTTCCTCCTGTTTGGGAAAGCTGGTTCACAGTTCTCCAAAGCTTTTTTCCCTTCTCCCATTTTTACATCATCACTCACTGTCCTCTTGTATGATATAAATATAATTGCAAACATGTTTATTTTGTATGATATTTAATATTAATGCTCTTAAGGCGGTATAAATGCTAAATGGTGATGATCAGAGGAAATGAAGAAATATAAGCAGGAGAGAAGTTGTCTTTGTGAGAATTAAATGATGGATAGCTTATGAGGCTGAAATACAGTAGGACAGAGGTTGGCAACCTATGGTCCATGGGCTGAATCCAAGAAGAAGTTGGATTCAGCCAATGAAGGTCTGACTCAACCCAGGGTGGCATGAGAGATTAGGTGGCATGCAGCTGCACCATGCTGCCTGGATACTGGATCAAGCCAGTCTCCTCCTCAGCATCCCCCTTCCTGCAGGGGTTGGAGGCAAGGGTAAGTGCTCTAGGAAGTGGAGATTTGCAGTCAGTGGCAGGAGGTTGGTCACAGGCTCCAATCTGCGGCAGCAAGAAGTTGCTTCTCCCTGCAATAGAAAGCTTTAGAAATGGTATGCGCTACAAAGGTACAAGTGATATCAACAGTGGCCAGTGGAAAGCTCAGAGAAAGAAAGGGAGCAGGGAGAAGAGGTGAAATTGTTCAGTACATTAGTTACAAAGTTGGTGAACTCCCTCTTGATAATTTCCCTCCTTGAATTTATCTTTACTAGTAAGACATTTGCAACACAGCACAACAGACATTTTGTGGTACCTGTATAGGTTCATTATATGATAATAATATCAAGCTGTTGAGCTGGTGGAGGTGCTTGGTATATGTAGCATCATTTCAGGATCAGAAACTTGCAGGCTTTATTCTGAAATGATTACCCCAGTAAAACCCAGACTATTTTGGGGAAGGTCAGCATAAATGATCTTCATGTTTTCCTAGTGAAATAAAGGGAAAGGGCCAGATTCTCTCAACCATTTTGCCTCATCATTAAGATGTCTTTAACTAGGAGAATCTTTAAAGATTCAATGTTTTGCGAGTCTTTAAACTATTTTCTGTGTTTTCATTATTGGTATGTGTTCCCTGTTTTCCCCCCTGTATTTGAAGAAAACATCTTCTCCATGATTTAAGAATTAAATATACATTTATAACTAAAGAGAAACCTCTACTGTGTATGTAAAATAGAACTGATCAATTAGAGTGGAAGGTTCCAGCACACTTGTGCTCACTAGGAGAGAAAAACCTAGGAAGCATTGATACTTGAGAAATAGAGGTAGCAAAGGAGCTGTGAGTTTGCAATGTGATATCATTTTAGAAAAGGTCGGTACAGTTTCTGGCTGCATATGCCAAGGTCACATCATGGACCAAAGTCTTTTACAGTCTTATTTTATTTCCACCACATCTGCAAGATGGCATTCCATTTTTGGGATTACATTGACAGAAAGACGTTGGCATCCTGTGGAGTATTCAGGGACTAGCAACAATAATGAATAAGTCTGAACTGAGTAACTGATTAAATTGGAAAGAATAAAAACATCCCGTGGGGCAGATAATGTGGCCCTGCACACTAGATGGAGTGGGCAGGCCCAAGATGGCAAAGGGCCTGATCTGAGCATGTGGGGCCAGGGCAATGCAAGGTTAGCCCCTCACCACTTATCTAGCTTGCAGGCCAAAAGGTTTAACACTACTAGCCTAAATAAGTCAAAGTCAACATATTGTGCCCATCTAAATATTTTTAGTCCGTTAGCATTGTAGGTATCCCTAGGTATACTGAAGTAGAATTAAAAGGGAAATTGAAGTCTGACTATGAAGAGAAACTTCCAGCATTAAAAGGTTACAGTGTATGAATTAGTGTTCCAGTAGGATGGATGGAAACCATATGCTTTGAGGGCCTTGACCCAAGAGATCATTAATAGAATGTCCCAGAGGAGACAGTTCTGCATTGTGCTATAAGAATTAGGCTGAGGGCTTTAATACTTCTTTTCTACTTCCAGCTTTTCTGATTTGATCAAGAACAGCATATTGTAATCCTCAAAAAACTCATTTGGCACCAGTGTTGCAGCAGTACGCTATCTATATCTACTGTTTGTTTTTCTCTGTGGAATTTTAACTTTCTAACTAAATAGTATGCAAACCCAATAGCAATCAAGTTTGAATCTGAAGTTTGATGAGGCAACCCAATTAGGATGAAGGATAAAATGAAATACTGCAGAATTGCATATTCTGATCAAACTCCCTTTTCCTTCTCTATCACTTTCATCCCCAGTTAAATGCCAGAAGAGGTGTCTCTGAAGGGGCTGTGATTCAAGACTCCTGGGTTCTAGTCCCTGCTCTGCCACTGACTGTATGTGACATTAGACAAATCACTTCCCCTTCTCTGTTCCTTAATTTCCTCATCTGTAAATGAGGCTAATACCAACCTCATTAAGTGTTGCAAGGCCTGATTCTTTTTTTAAAGCATTTGAAGGACTCAGAGTAGTAGATTATAAGGCAAAAAATTACTACTGTAGTCATCTAAATAGATGTTGTACATAACACAGTCACAGAATTTCATTAAGTATTTTCTACTTGTGCAGGGATTTTTCTTCTGTATTTGGAAAGCCCAGTAACTTGTAGTTGAATTAAAGCATGGCTTTCATAAAGCACTATTCTTGACTTTAGACTCCCACCAATAATGAATTGATGAGTTTTCTTCATAATCTGTTTCAGTAATCAAATATTGCTACTATTAAAATGTTAGTAAAGGCCACTGCATCAGTGCAGTGGTAGTGGAGAAGCTGAGATCATAGCAACTGTTTAAAAAAAAAAGAAAAGAGTGAAACAAAAAAACAACAAACCAAAACAACCAAGAAACTGTTTTGTAGGATACTGCTAGTACTGGGACTCTAGCTGTTATAGCCAAAAGAAAGTCCTTGGGATTTAAAGCTTTCCCCCTCCTTCAAGGCTGCTATCACATTCAGTGAGTACTCTGCATGCCCCTTGCTTCACATCCTTGAGGCTCAGTCTATCACTCATTCTCCAAAGGGACACAGAAAGAAGACATCTAGTGCTGGGTGACTGTTTTCAGATTTGGGAGGAGTCCTTCAGTTAAGACTCTGAACACTCACTTTTCATGATTTTTGTTCCTGTGGTCTATTGCTCTGCGCCAGTGGCCAGCAATATTTCTGAGCAACAGGATGAAACAGTGCAGGTCCAGTCTGATACAGGCTCGGTAGGTTTTGGCGGAGCATCAGTAGAAGAAGGTTTTGTCTACGCCATAGCCTGGGGACTGGGGAGAAGCAGTGGTAAGGACATAGCTCCCAACTGTCTGGCCCTAGTGCAGCTTCTCACCACCCAGTGGAGGTGTGGGCATGGGCAGAGCCTCCCATTGCTGGAACACAACCAAAGCCCCTCCCTCCTCCAGCTTCACAGCCCAAGTCCAGTGGCTCCACAGGCCAGATCTGACTTGCAGGCCATGTGCTGCTGATTCCCTCCCTACACCGATATTTTTTTTTCACTGGGAGGCTCACAACCACAGCTTCAGCAGAGAAGTATAGCCGACTATTCAGGAACAATTTTAGTCAACTCCTTACTCTTGCTGTTAGTAGGCCAAGAAGATACGTTATATGCAGCCAACTGGTCAACTTTATTTACTGTTGCCCAGTTAATTCTCCCTCACCTGCAAGATGTTGTAGCTCTACTTGAAGGTCAGTAGGAATATGGTAGGAAGGAAGCTAGGTGGAGACAAATGACTGATTCCAACAGAAAGTATCTTCCTCCTTACCCAGGGAGCTTGTCATCCCTTCCTCTCCTGTCAGCTGTAGGAATTTTAATATCTTCCAAAACCTATTACAGCTGACAGACCTTGGAGATGCTGAAGGAGGTAGTACAAGAAGAATCCTACAAATTACTAAACATTTAAGAAAGTTGGCAGATGCTGTCAAGCTTGTCCTAAGGCATTTGAGTGTTTTTAAATTCTCTCAGACCCAGGATTGCAGGTGGTGATGGCACTACATAAAGGATCTAAAGTGCTTCAAAAAATTATGCCAACAGAGAAATACCCTAAACATATGTCAAAATATGATTGTCTAAACTGGAAAAAGATGTCATAGTGCATAGAGAAGCTTTTACTAGAATGCAGTTTCTCTCTAGAGACATTTTAAGGAAATGGACACCATTTTCACCACATAGACGCTAAAGCTCATGAAAGCATACCTGCCAATTCCATTAATACCTAGCACCTGAGAAAACTCAGATGAAATTTATTCTCCCTCTTTCATGATATCCCCAACCTGATTCACACAACTAGTAGTTGGAGCTCCAGTGGCTTCTCTGAGTAGCATCCAAATTGCAGAATTTTTACTCACAAGTATTCTGTAACTGAGACTTCCAGATCAGAGACCCACTTGGACAGAGCTGTCCTGAAATTGCTGTGTCAGCCACTATGAGGTCATAGCTTGCTAGTCACTACAAGTAGAATCACTCAAAGAGGAAAGTATGATTATGTTCTGTGGTAACTGTGGTTCTTTGAGATGTCTTGCCCATATGGATTCCACAAGCTGCTTTCCTTCCCTCCCTCCTTTCTGTAGAGTCTAATAGTGACAGAGTTCTTATGAGAGAAGGAACTGAGGGGATGTCTGGGGTTGTTTTAGCCTGTACACCATTGAATGAGGTGTAACCCTGCTTATACATATAATGTTTTTGATTGTGTGCTCTAGTACTGGAGCTCTGTTCTACTGCAGATTTGCATATTCTCATTGGGCACGCAGGAGTAGAAGGTTCTATGACTGTCAGGAGGAGTGAGGGCACCCTGAAGGGCCAAGAAGAAGAAACTCCAGGGCTGTGATTGGAGAGCCCAAGGGGGACCCTAGAGTGAAGTCCCCCTTTGAGGGTATTCTTGCAGAGGCTGGTGAGCCTTTACTGGTGAGAGATGGGGAGGGCTGCCTCACTAATAAGGCCCTGAATCCAAGAGGGGGCAAGCAACCCTGGGCAGCAAACAGTACACTTCAGCCAACCCTAGTGGTGCTAACAGAGCAGCAGTAGTGAACCTGACCATGAGAAGCAGCAAAGCAGCAAGTTCAAAAAGTGGCAGGCAGCCTGCTTCAGCACTCCCCACAGTAGCAGCAGAGGCAGCGTTCCCAAGCGGTGAGAAGTGATGAGCCAGAAAGTGACGTAAGGCAGCACACCCTAGCCCCAGCAGCAGCTATCCCAAGTGGAAGCCAGTGGGGTGAAATCTTCCTCAGTGGAACTGAAGAAAGACTCTTCTTCCCCACTTTTGCTGGGCAAGGTAGTAGCCTCCCAGGTTGGGGAAGCTCTCAGAAAGCAGCAGACACCGAAAGACTCATGGGCTTGTTGTTTGTTATTTGAGGGTTTTCATTTGTTGTTTGGGGTGTAATTTGGCTTTTGAAGGTATTCAATAGTTGTTAATACTTTATATGGTTCAGTTATTTTCTTTTTCACATTTATAAACTTTTATATACTGTCGGTATCCAAATTGCTTACAAATGGAGAAGTCATTCTTCCAGGACTTCCAGTAATAGTGAAACTTTCCCAGGTTAATGGGTGGGGACGTGAGCCAACACCTGCTGAATTTGGACCCAGCATTTGTACTGCAAGCAAGTCTTGGCAGAAGGGTTACAGATGGCTCCAATTGACTGTACATCTAGGATGTTCACTAGAGTCTTTATGGATAATGCATCTCAAAGAATCAATAACTATGCAGTAAGCAATTTGATGAGAGATTGTTTGTTTAGAAAATACAAGAAAAAATAAAATGTGAAAACTGAGTTTAGGACGTCTTTAAAATAAAGATTCCAATTAAGCTGTTACGCTGAAAACATAAGTAGTCTTGTCACTAGTAAGTCTGCTTTTGCTTAAAAGTGTTCAGTGATGCACCTTCCCCTAATTATACCACATGTTCTTTTGTAGAGTAAGAACATGATACTGGATCAGGCCTTTAAATATATAACAGAAATGAAAAGGCAAAATGATGAACTCCTATTAAATGGAGGGAACAGTGAACAAGGTAAGCGTGTAATGTTTTGAAGGTTCTTGATGTTCCCTTTTTCTCCTTTCTACTGGGTGTTATGTGGCTCATATATCTCCCACCAATCAGAACTGTTTTCCCCTGCAATGCACAGCTTTGTTAGCACCCTCCTGTCTTTACTAATCCCATGGTTATGTAACATAGTGACATGAAGCACCTTTAGAACCCAGAATGGAAATTTCTTACTACTACAAGGAAGCAATTTCTTGCCTGCAGCATTTATTGAACATAGAACACTCATTAAAACCTGTTCTCAGTTATCAAGTTTAGTAACAAAATCAGGATTTTTTTTTCATTTGGATCAACAAATTGGGGAATCTCAAGAAGAGAGATTGGCAGAAGAGAGATGGCTGTTCAGAGTAGTTAGAAAACAAGAAGGTTGATGGTATGTCTTAATGCATATTTGTGTACTTAACTATGGCAAATGAAAGCAGCAGCATCATGGGATGTTGCCATTAATAAGTTCACAGTGGCCATGTCTACACGAGATGTTGACTATGCAGTTGTTACTGTGCAATCATTTAGTACTTGTATAAACAAGTACTAAATAACTGCGCTGTAGCCTCACTGAATGGCTTTTTCAGCATTGCATCATGCAGCACTACTGCGCAGTAATCACAGGCTACATCACTCCCAACACTACCATTTCAAGTACATTATATATAGGTGTTTGCCCACAGAGAAAAGATAAATTAGTTTTCCAGTCCCTTTCTCAGTCTTTATAAAATTAATCAGATGTCTAGAACTTGCAGCATGATTTAAGTTCTTTAAAATGGCTTAGACAGAAAAATTAACAAATCTGACTATAACAGTGACTGACTGATCTGCTTAACTGAGCTCGAAGCAGGTGAGAAGGGGGCATGCCTGAGATGAGACTTAGCTATACCTAGATATGTTTTTTTAAGTAAGGTTTTCAGAGGACATACCGTGTATTTAATAATGTATATACTGTGTTACATAGAAACTATGTTGTAAGTCATATGGCAGCAATAACCTTTCCCAACATTTTTAAGGATACCCTGTTAATGGTATATTCTTATTTGTTTTGCAGCTGAGGAGATAAAAAAGCTCCGGAAACAGCTGGATGAGCTCCAAAAGGAAAATGGGCGATATATAGAACTCCTGAAAGCAAATGACATTTGCCTGTATGATGATCCCACAATACACTGGAAAGGGAACCTCAAAAATGCAAAGGTCTCTGTTGTCATTCCCAGTGATCAGGTTCAAAAGAACATCATTGTCTATTCGAATGGGAGTCAGCCCAGTGGAAATAACCAGGGGGCGCCTGTCCAGGGAATAACTTTCAATGTTGGGAATAATTTACAAAAACAAACAGCAAATGTTGTACCAGTCCAGAGAACTTGCAACCTAGTGTCCCCTGTGACTATTTCTGGTATTTGCCCCACAGAAAACAAGCCATGGTCTCAAACCACAGTTTCTCCATTGGCATCCAGTCAGCCCGTTCCAGCAGGGAATCTTCTTGAGCTTTCCACCTCAGATAATGAGCAGGCCCTTCTTAGTTCTGCTACTGCCAATTTACAAAAGGCTTCTCCCTCGGGGACAGAACCAGAACTATATTGTTCCTCAAGTAACATGTCACAGAATGATCAAAATGTCCCCCAAGCCAAACATGGACAAGAAAGTACCAAGTTAACAAAGAAAACAGTCACACCTGGCATCAGTCTTCCTCCTAATGCTACAATTGAGGCATCTCAAATTCAACAGGTGAATGTGTCCTGTTCAAGGTTGCAGGATTCTAGAAGTGAATTTCAAGAAAGCTTTGTAGTTTCAGCCACTGCTACCACTTGTACCCCATCTGTGAGACTTTCCATCATGGATGGCTCCCCATCAGTAAATGTTCTCAAAAGTACAGACTTGGGAAGTAGTGCTGGCATGCCAGTGACTTCTGCAGTAGGAGTGAAGGCTTTAACAGCAATAAGCACACTGCCTGCCAGTTCTTTAGACAACTGTTGGTCTTTTTCTGGCTCTTCGAGTGTTGGTGCTTCTGACTTGAAAAACATGAGTAACCTGACATGGATCCCTCCAGTTGGAAACACACAGACTACGTGGACTACTTTGCAATTAGCAGGAAACACTGTTCAGCCACTAAGCCAAACTCCTTCTGGTTTAATGACTGCATTATTAAATGAGCCAGTAACTAGTGCTCGTTCAGTATCTTCCACCTCCAATAGGCATTTGACTGCAAGCATGAGTCTGAATCCTTCTTTGACTGGAGACAGACAGGCAGCTGAACAAATTGTTGTTACCATGCCTTCTTGCCCATCATTACCTGTGCAGCCATTAATCACTCAGCCACAGGTTAAGGCCCAGCCTGCAGGAAATATACTTCCATTGAATTCAGCTATGCAGGTAATTCAGATGGCTCAACCAGTTGGTGGGTCAGCTGTTACTGCAGCACCAACTAATCAAAATGTCATAATTCTCCAGCCTCCAAACACTACCCCATGTCCTCCAATAGTGAGAGCTGAAGTTTCTAGCCAAACAGTTAGCCAGCAGATTGTGATTATACAAGCAGCTAATCAAAATCCGCTTCCCATCCTTTCTGCACAAGCCCCTGGTTCTGTCAGAGTTCCTGTGAATGGACCCAGTCCAATAACAAACTCTAACAACCCTGTGCAAAATGCCTCTGCTCCACAAACATTTGGAGGGAAGCATCTTGTCCATATATTACCAAGACCGTCCTCTTTACCATCTTCTAGCTCTACACAAACCTTTTCTGTTACCATGTCAAATCAACAGCATCCTCAGACCATCTCTTTAAATGGGCAGCTGTTTGCATTGCAACCTGTAATGTCCTCATCTGGAACTTCAAATCAGACCCCTATGCAAATTATTCAGCCTACCACCAGCGAAGATCCAAATACTAATGTTGCCCTCAACACATTCGGTGCTTTAGCTAACCTCAATCAAAGTATATCACAAATGGCTGGGCAAAGCTGCTTACAGCTGCCACTCAGTCAGCTTACTAATCCCACAGTTTCCAGCAGCCAGATTGCCCCAATAAACTGTGTAGCACTACCAACTTCTACATCTTCCATAGCTACTGAAAGTTCAACAGTGTTACCCAGTGCTGCTCATTCAGTAAGCATGTCCCCCAAAAAACCTGCTAGTGTGCCATCTAATGTAAAATCAAAAAGGACAAATAAAAAACAGAGTACAAAAAAACATTTAATATCCATTAACAAAAATTCATGTCCAGCAGTTCCTTGCAGAGATGTAGGGAAGCTTGATTGCACTAATGTGGAAGGTACAGACCAGCGTTCTGATAGTGAAGGGCTGCTTAAAAATACACCTGTGCTATCACAAACCTTAGATGTATCGCAAGCAAGAAGTGTGGCAGCACCAAGTCCTGTAAGCACTTCTGATGATTGTTCCAAAGAAGCTCATAATTCTGAACAGATGATGGGATCTGGCCATTTGCCAGAGCCAAGCTCAACAGAGATTCCTACTTCTTCACCGTTGAAATCAGTGATGTCAGAACAATTTGCATTGGTTCAGTCAAGTTCCAAAGATTCCATTCCTCAACAAGCATGGAGGTCTCAAAATAATCCACTCCCCAACTCTGCATTGCTGGAATCGTCCAAATCCAATGCAACTCCTAGTGTCTCAATGTCTTCTCCTTGTGAAGCACATGTAACAATTTCTCAGATTCCTGAGACACCAAGAGCACAAAGTAGTGCAACAAACCATCCTTCTGAGACAGAAGCCATTTCAGAGACCTGCAGCATAGGGCAGAATTCTTCAATTGGAGTGCAAGGCACAGATTTGTTAGAGGGACAAGGTCTAACTAAAATGCTGTCTGACCTTACTAAAGAAAGAACAGCTGCACAAAAAACCTTTGCAGTTCACGTTGAACATTCTAATTTTCCCACAGAAAACTCCAAAACAATAGAAGCAAATGTCAGTTTGCCTGAGAAGCAGGAACTCTTGCTAATGAACACGGAAGGTGATACTCTCACACAACACCATTCTTGCATTTCTGACCAAGAGGTGGTTAATAGTTCTCTTGTTGCTAGCAGACAGGCAGACTCTCCAATGTCGACTAGCTCTGGGAGCAGCCGTGGCTTCTCAGTTGCATCCATGTTGCCAGACACATCTAAGGAAGATGTTACAAGCAGCACATCTACAAATACATATAGCAGCTGCACATTTTCAGAGCAAACTGATATAGTAGCTCTTGCAGCAAGAGCTATTTTTGACCAAGAGAACCTTGAGAAAGGTGGAGGGGGAGTACAAGTTAATATAAGGGATACTGTGCCTAAGTCTGCTGAAATTGCACCTTTGGAGAGAGAGCAGCAGTCTTTTAAACTACAACCACCTAAGGATAACAATGCAGGACAGTTGGAAATATCACCCAGCAAATTCAGTGCTCAGGATTCAGTGCAAACAAATAGTGAAAGACCAGCTGAAAAACCAAGCTGTTCTGTAGGGGTAGAAACATCCAACACCTCCTTACAGATTTCAACATCCCACTCACCAAATGTAACTAGCTTAAGTGTAAATAATCTTATACATCAAAGCTGCATAATACATCCTCTTGTGAGTTGCTCAGGTTTATCCCAGCCATCAGAGCAAACACCTGTTCCTGCAACTGTGAATCTTTCCATATCCTCTAGTTCTTTTGTCAGTCCGTCTCCAGGACCAGCTATGGTGACTGAATATGCTCAAGAACAACTGAATGCAATTAGGGCAAACCCCATGCAAGCACCCCAGATACAAGAACCACACTTAAAGCAGCAGACCCATGAAAGTCTCAAGGATGCAGCTAAGCGTGCTGTGCAAGATGACTTTCTGCTTTCTACAGCAAAGAGGCAAAAGCAGTGTCAGACAACACCTATCAGGCTGGAAGGCATGGTCTTGATGAACCGAACACCAGATGGTATAGCTGATCAAAGTCAAATGCTGGTTAGTCAAATGCCTCCCAGTTCATCCAATCCAGTGGTGTCAGTGAGCAGTCAAGGGCACACTGATGGCCTTAATAGATTATTCCCATCTGCGAACAGTTTTGTAACAACTGTGAGGCAAACTGAAGTTCAATGCAGTTCTCAGCCTTCAATATCAGAGCAGCAAAGTCAAACAGGGGGTCAGCATCTACAGTCCATTCAGCATGTTCCTGCCCCAGGCATATCGCATATTCATAGTAATCACCCATACTTAAAACAGCAGCAGGCTGGACAACTGAGAGAGAGACATCACTTGTACCAGATGCAGCATCACATTCCTCATGCAGAGAGTTCAGTTAATTTGCACCCCCATAATGTCCACCAACAAAGAACAATTCAACAGGAGGTGCAAATGCAAAAGAAACGAAGCCTTGTACAAGGAACCCAAACCACTCAACTTTCTTTGCAGCAGAAGCACCATGGTAGTGATCAAAGTCGGCAAAAAAATGGTCAGCCACATCCACACCACCAGCAAATGCAGCAGCAATTGCAGCAACACTTTGGAAATTCTCACCCTGAAAAGAACTGTGAAAACCCTGCAACAAGCAGAAACCATCATAATCATCCTCAGAGCCATATAAATCAGGATATTCTGCATCAGCAACAAGATGTTAGCAACAGACAGCAAGCCTCAGGAGTTTCCTCTGAACATGTATCAGGGCATAACCAGATGCAGAGACTTATGACCTCAAGAGGTTTGGAGCAGCAAATGGTGTCCCAGCCAAGTACTGTAACTAGGCCATCGGATATGACCTGTGCCCCACACAGGCAGGAAAGAAACAGAGTTTCTAGTTACTCTGCAGAGGCACTGATTGGAAAGACACCTTCTAACTCTGAACAGAGAATAGGTATACCTCTTCAAGGCCCTAGGGTTTCAGACCAACTTGAAATGAGAAGTTACCTTGATGTCTCCAGGAATAAAGGCTTGGTAATTCATAACATGCAGGGTCGTATATCCATAGACCATGTAGTTGGTTCAGATGTGCAGCGGCTTTCTGATTGTCAGCCATTTAAGCCAGGTGGAGCTAGCCAGCAATCAGCAGGCAATTTTGATGTGCAGGCCTCAAGACACAGTGACATTGGTAATTCTGTGTCATCTCTCAGAGGCATGCAATCACAAGTTTTTCGAATTAGTCAAAATACTGTGCAACCCATAGAGAGGCAAAAGAGGTTGCCTTATCAGCCAGTTCAGGGTATTCCAACTGGAAATGCTCTTCTACCGCGGGACAATGAAAACACATGCCACCAAAGTTTTATGCAGAGTTTACTTGCCCCTCATCTTGGAGATCAAGTTAGTGGAAGCCAAAGATCAATTTCAGAACATCAAAGGAATACACAGTGTGGTGCATCTTCCACCATTGAATATAATTGTCCCCCCACACGAGAGAGTGTCCACATCCGAAGAGATAGTGAAGCTCAGAATAGGGAAAGCTGTGACTTGTCTATGGGTACGATTAATACTAGGAACAATTCTTTAAATATTCCTTTTTCAAGTTCTTCCTCGGGAGATATTCAGGGTCGAAACACAAGCCCAAATATTTCTGTACAGAAGTCCAACCCCATGAGAATGAGTGACAGTCATGGAACCAAGAGCCACATGAATACGCCTGTTTCTAGTAATCTGCATGGGGTTGTCCGGCCAGCTCTCCCTCACCCTGCAGTCTCTCATGGAAATGCAGAGCAAGGGCAACCACCTGCTCGTCAACCAAATTCTTCTGTCACTCAACGATCCAGGCATCCTTTGCATGATAATAATGGCTCTAAAATCCGCCAGCCAGAAAGGAACCGATCTGGAAATCAAAGACATGGAAATGTATTTGACCCTAGTCTTCCCCATCTTCCTCTGTCTACCAGTGGCAGTATGATACTTGGGCGCCAACAGTCTACAGTAGAAAAAAGAGGCAGCATTGTCCGTTTTATGTCGGATAGCCCACAAGTGTCTAATGATAATGCAGCCCCTGACCAGCATACTCTGTCTCAAAATTTTGGGTTCCCTTTTATTCCAGAAGGTGGTATGAATCCACCAATAAATGCCAATACATCTTTCATTCCACCAGTTACTCAGCCCAGTGCCACTCGAACACCAGCCCTTATCCCAGTAGATCCTCAGAATACACTGCCATCATTCTACCCACCTTATTCTCCTGCCCATCCCACTCTGTCAAATGACATTTCCATCCCCTACTTTCCCAATCAAATGTTTCCTAATCCAAGCACAGAGAAGCCTAGTAGTGGAGGTTTAAACAATCGATTTGGATCCATTTTATCTCCTCCCAGACCCGTTGGTTTTGCTCAGCCTAGTTTTCCTCTTCTCCCAGATATGCCACCAATGCACATGACCAATACGTCACACTTATCCAATTTTAACTTGACATCTTTATTTCCAGAAATAGCCACAGCTCTTCCTCCAGATGGTTCAGCAATGTCACCTTTGCTTTCAATAGCAAACACATCAGCTTCAGATTCTTCCAAACAATCTTCAAACCGACCGGCCCATAATATAAGCCATATTCTAGGTCATGATTGCAGTTCAGCTGTATGAAAACTAATAGGCTGACATGGAGTCTGATGAGTTGTTTATAGATAAATATAGATCTTAGCTGGCATCTCTGAAGAGAACATTCATAGCAACACTTTGTATAAAATCATGTGTGTACATGGGTGCTTACTTATGTACATATTGTGTATCAACTGACTTTCAAGTACCAGTGCCTATAACAATGCTTACTAGTAACAGTAAGAGTGCAAAGCCTAGAGCTCTGAAGGTATTGATTGTTGATTTTGCAACATTCAATAATCTGATTGTCCTGAGCTAACTGCCACCCTCAGTGCTTGGATCTAAAGCATCAAGTAAAATTTCAATTTTGTGAGAGCTGGGATTGAAGGAAACAAGTGTTTGGGATTTTATTTTAATGTTTGATTAATTTGCCCAGAAGGTACAGTGAAATATATATATTTTCTTTTTTGGTAAATTTATTTTAGAGCCTTGCACACAAGTCAACTTGGTGTTAATTTAGACACCTTTGTGGGCTCTCTTACCTGGTAGAATTTGTCACGTGCTCTACTCAAGGCTGACTTTATTCAGGAAAACCCATTGTGTGTGTTTTTGGCATCAGCAGCTAAAAAAAAAATGAAAATACTCGAATTCCCTTTAAATATGACTTCATGTCTTTTTCCGAGGAGAAAATTTTAATTCAGATTTGTAACTGGTTCCTGCTGAACTGTGTGTTGCATTGTTAGTACAATTTATTACTCCTTTTAGTGATATCAGCATAGATGCAGCAGTCCTCTTTGTTGTCATCTGTTTATTGTTAGTATGCTGCAAGTTACCTCAGGTATAGCTTTCTTATACCTTGTTTAGCACCTTCAAAATGAATCTATCTTTCTTTCTCTCTCTCTTTTTTTTTTAAATTCATGTCTCCACATCTATGCTTTCATTCCTCCTTTCTTTGGATTAAGGCCCTTTCCTGTAATTGACAGCAAGTGGGCAGACTACTGTGCCTAAGTGGAACCCCACTGAAATTAATATGGCTCTTTGGAGGTACAGCAGTCTGCCTACTCTGTGTCATTGCAGGATGAGGATCCTAAATAAACGTTAATTCTTTGCACTTATATAGCACCTTTTATCTAAGCCAGTGTGACTGTGGATATATTAGTGTGTCAGGGTTTAAGCTCATGGTATATTGGGAACTGCTTAGTAATATGAGCATGGTAATGTGTGTGTGGTGTTGGAGGAGAGAATGTTAAGCAAGATTTTTAATTGTCTGTAATTCTTTTGCAAAATTTTGGTCCCATGGTTTTAAATGAAAATAAGGGAGGAACTAGGTAAGTGATATTTATTTAGTGACTTCTGTAAAATTGTCGTCTTAAGTAAGGTAGATATTCTTTGTTATGCATCTGAAAATGATCATGCAAGACTTTTTCTTAAGATCAGAAATAGTAACTATTAGTTTTGCTTCTAAACAAACCCCTTCCCCTCCTATTAGAGGGTCAGATTGCAGGTCTTGCTCCTTTACAGTGTAGTAGAGAGGATTAACAGCCAGAGTTGTTCTGAGGCATCCTTTCCATGCAGGGAAAATTCAAAGCCATTAAATGCTTCAAATGCCTGCTTGTTGTAGCATGTTTTAATCCAGTTGCTGCTGTCAAATCTCTGTGGGGTGAGGGGAACCGTGTAATGTCTCATTGTATCTGTGAAACATCACAGTGGGCATGTCTATGTGAGCTAGGATGCTGTAGCTCATCACTACAGAGATGTAGTGGGCATGAACTGTGACACTGATGCTGTTGTGCGGTAGCAACAACCTACTGTGCAATAGGGTTGGAAATGACCCATGTGCCACCGGGACTGCGCAGTAACAACTGTGCAGTCTGATGCACGTGTAGACGCGTGGAGTCTAGCCCGTGATTGAAAAATGGAGTTTCCCTATCTTTCACCCCCTCTCTATGCTCACACTGATGTAACCAGAATTTTGTCTATAGATTGAGGGCTGGATTCTTATTTGGAGTAGGACTCGTACTGCTCTGGCAGTGGATGGATGTCTGCTTTTATAATCTGCCTGAGGATGTCTCCATTTTTAATGTTGCTTCAGCTTGCAAATCAAAGGGAAGTGGTTCTGTCTGAAACTGGAAATTCAATTCCAATTAAGATAGGGAGCATACTTAGGACACTAACTGTATTGATGTTTTATGTCTCTATATTTAAAATTAAGCACCTGTTTACTCTCTTTAGTTTAGCTTGAAAACAGAACAATCCACAATTGTCAGTGCCACGGTTTGAGGTTACCATTCTAACCAAGAACAATAGGGGTAGAAATTAGCATAATGTTTTAGTTCTCTGATGGAGTGGACCTTCCAAGTCATGGGGAGAGCACCCACAGTTGAATCCCTCCATCACCACATATGCAGGCTGGTTGCAAGTCACATCTGGCCTGCAGGCCATAGGTTGCTGACCCTTGCTTTATGCCCATGTAAAGTTTTCATAAAGCACAACTGTTCTGATTTGGTATCATTTTATGTTAGAAAGCGTATATGACTGCTTAAGAAACAATGCTGTGGAAAATCAGATCCACAGTTAATAAAATTAGATTGAATTTAAAAAGTTCCTAGATACTGCTTTATTTCTTCTTATACTTTCAGGCATCCATATAGAACTACACAGCTGTTAAGACTCAGCTGCTTTAAGCTCTTTGAAAATTACAGAGTGAACTTGTGAACTTTGTGGAATAGATTCTTTCTTTGCATAATTTTATTGACTTTATTGGTGTTACACCCAGATTAAATTTTGTTGTGTGTGTTTGCCACAGGGGACACAGGGCTAATATATAGATATATACATAGTGATGCTTCATTTTAACCATGGAAAAATGTGGATTTGGGGTTACTTTTTTTAACTGACAATTGTTGGGTTTTTTTAATCAGACAAAACCAGGATCCTTGGTAATTATCATGTAACATATAGTATTAATCAAATGACTTTTGTAGAAACAACTTATTAAGTGCAGAAAGAGGAATTTCCTTCCGTTCTGCCCCACTTAGTCATGATAATTTTTATTGAACTCCAACCAAATTCCATTGCAGGTTTTTTTATACTATGTTATATTACATTAAACTTTAAAAGTAGTTAAATGATTTGTTAACCAATCCTGATTACTTTATTAAAATTGACATAGCAATTTGTCTAGGATTAGGATGAGTACTGTGCAAAGATGTGGTGATCATAAAAAAACTCTAGAGAGCTTAAAAATGAACCACCTCCTTTTTTGAGGCATATAATGAATGCTGTTTTGGCATGTGTTGCACTCCATTTTTTTTCGGGGGGGGGGGGGAA